GGTCAGCACACATGCGTGTGATTTCCGCATGATGAGCACTTGACAAGATGGCGACCAGAAATCTTGCCTAGCTCCGTCCGTGGCCAAACACGTACGGGTTTCCCTAGTATCAGCTGACTCAGGAACATACCACTCCTATGCGACCGCCGCTTCCGCTTGAGTTCTCCGGTGATAAGCAGCTATATTAAAATTCACTGACAGTAACCGACAAAATAAAAGGTATTTAAAGCATTAAAAATCCAAGAAGTTGTTAAAGTTAACCAGTGACTTTAGCAAAATTGTGTTCGAGCCGAACACGCCCCGTGAGCTGTGGAAGGTTCCAAAATGGCGACGGCTCCTGTCAGAGTAGAGTGAAACTTTCCTATTTTTCTTGTAATTTTCTAGCTGCTCTGAACTATTCCGTCGACTGTACTCGTCTCTTTCCCAAGATAAAGCCCACCGGAACAGGTATGAGGGCGGTCATCGCTTGAATCGAGCTGCTCGGTTCCGTGCTCCGTGTGTCTGCTCTCCACGTCGCCGGGCTTCCTGAAGAAGTTCCCGTTAGATGACCGAGCTCACGGCGGCTGTTGACAACAGCTTGTTCGGCGTTTAGCTTCAGGTGAGCCTGGACGATGGCAGGGTAGCTAGCTACATCACCGAGCTAAGAGCGCCCAGGTYCGCTCAGCTGGGCTCGGTTTCACTCGTCGAAATTCGGAAAGACGGGTCTGAAATTCAGGATACGTAACTTGTCACTGTGGAAATAAACAGGTGTTGTTTGTCAACAGAAGCCAGTATCAGATTGATTTAGAGAAGCTGCTGTAACCCGTCACAGATTTCTCAGTAACCTTCAGTCTGATGAACGCTGTTACGCACAGCTTTATGTCCGTTCACCTGAATGTACAAATCCCATCAATAACCGTAACATCTAAATAACTACATCCATTAGCAGGTAGCTTTAGATCCTTTATTCTTTACATTGGTGTAATATGACACTCACTTATAGTTTAGTTACATTAGAATACAGTCAAGGCCCTCAGAATATTTACTTTCTGTTTTCCAGAACTGGTTTTAACTCTGATCATTTCCTTGTTGCTGTATGACGAACAGTTATCCTGGCCAATCAGATGGAGAAGCTCCAGGACCTGAGCCAATCAGAGCTGCAGGAGCTCCTGGATAACCCAGAGAGGGTGGAGTCTATGGCTTTGGAGTCAGATGAGGTACAAACAAAGCTTTGCTTCCCATTTTTAGCTCACATGTTTTTTTTTTAATAATCGTTTTTTAATATGAAACAGGCTTTAAGGGCTAGTCTGGTCATTTCTGAAGTGATGTTTTGTCAAATCAGCTGTGGCATTAATGTGGAGAAAGAGGCAGAAGCAAAAATCTTTATATGAACAGATTGTTGTTTTCATGTGAATCCACAAGTTGAATCTGGAATGGGACCAGCTTTCCTGGTGACTGGTTCCAGTACAAGTTTTATATCCTACCCCCTCCATGTAAATGCAAGATACGTTGTTATTTTTGAGTTTCTCTCTCTCTCTCTCTCTCTCTCTCTCTCTCTCTCTCTCTCT